AGAAGACATCGGGTTGTCGGGAAGAAGCAACACCACTACGTACGTCAGTACCATTCCGAGAACCAGAGATAGAGATCAGCATACCAGTTATACCGACTGAGACAGTAACTAGGCCCACGACCAAGAACATGATCTGCCAGCTAGTAAAAGTGTCACTTTCGTAGTGCTGAAACCCGAAACTGATCAGACTTCCAATAATTGTTCCAGTTCCTGCAGGGGTAGAGGTACGAAGTCAGCATATGTCTCACATGCATTTCGTACAGCCAGGACTTACCGACTCCCAGATACCAGATACCGGTTCGCAGCGGTTGTTCTTTCTTCTTATACCACATCGAAGTTATCAGGATCAAGCTGGGCGCGACGGCCGACTCGAAGCAACCCAATAGAACGCGTGTAGCGACTAGAGCGCCGTAGTTCTTGCACACGCAAGTGAGTGCTGTGACGAGACCCCAGAGTATTACGGCTGCGCCGAGGTACTTTGCAGTAGGCAGACGCTGCATGCCGTAGCCATGAGGGAACTCGAGCGCGAGGTAAGATACGTAAAAGAAGAGAGCGAGGTTGGAGAATTGTGCCGTGTTGATGTTGGCGTCCTCATAGAGACCCATCACCGCCGCGTAGTTCACTGGTATGAACTGTCAGTATGCTTGGTTGTAGAGCAGTGATGCAGCAATGCAAAGAGCTGACATACCTAGTGTCTTGTCCAGATACTGCAAGCAGTAACAACACCACATCAATGGCATGATCATCCAATCAATCTTCCGAACCAGTCTTCGCTCGTCCTCTGGCGTAAAAGCACCGACGTTGTGTGCATTCTTAAGAAATTTGAGTGCCTCATCGCCGTTGTTGGATGGCTCCTCGACGGTACCAATCTCGACGTCCGAATGCGGTCGCGAAGGAGAAGTGTCGCCCGATTTCGACTCGTGGGCTATCTCTTTCTCCGGGATGCTCATCTTGCCGTTATAGACGAGGACAGGTAAACTAGATATTATTTTCGATTGGTGTCCATGTAACATGCGGTGCGACATGGTATATGTAACGAACCCAGTACCCTACGATCTCAACATCTGCAATGCCGTGTCGCCCCTCACATGCATGCCGACCTCATACCCGGCATACAGCATTACCTATCAAGGAGCATCTATCGAAGATCGCTTCTGCGTCCTCAATGGCAGCCAAACATCGTTTTTTCCGACCAGCATCCCTTATCATGAACCCTGTAGCGACAAGCCGATGAACGCGCGATAGGTCCCAGATCTCTAGCCTGCATCGTAGGCGACACAGTGAGATCTTTCTTCCGAGGAATAGCCAAGAGTGCAGCGGGTGATAGCAGATTGATAATGTGTAGACGTGATGATGTCAGTGGAGATAGGATCGCGGCTGATAACGCTCCCCGTCGCTTGCGGGGCGCTAGGTGACGTTAGGAAGGTGGTGTGTTGGTCCCTGATGAGGGGTACAACGGTAGCCAACGTCGTGAGCGCCTATGGACTTTGCATGTTTAGCAACTGCAAAATGTAAGAGCGATATCTCGGAAATAAGCCCTGCAGAACGGAAGTGTACGCAAGAACGCATTCATCTTCACCAGTTCCTCTGTCACGAACGCTCTACATTTCTGTGAACCCTGGACCCCGGGAGAAAGCTTGATGCAGTCTTCATTCTCGCGTGTATGCCAGGCATTCATTCCGCTGGAACAGCTGAGGATAAATGTATTATGTCTTGCACAAAGAGTGTGTGGATGTTGGGGCTTGAGGAAGCGGTGGTGATAATTAGTTCGTCTATAGTGTGTGCGTTGTGCAAGCAACAAAGACGCAGTAGCAGCAACTATCTTATATTCTCCTTCTAACTTATATCTAAGTGCAATGTAATACTTTAGTTCTTTATCTTTATTTTATAGTACTGCAGTAGCAACGTAAATAAGTAACTTACAACTTCTAAATTTTATATGCACTTATCTAATTAGGTCCTTTTAAAAAGAGAAGTATTGTTAACACAAGAGCTTGCACAAAGAGTGTGCATGTCAAATATTGAAAATTGTAATGCCACTCGAAGGATGTCTCACCACTGATAGCACACATCTTCGTAAGTCTCGTGAAATCCTTGAAGAAAAATGTCGTTCACACATAACTAGCTCAAGTCTGGAGAATGGTCAACTATTTGGTGGTTACCATTTAGGTATCTCGGTATAGGCCTCAGGTTTAGTAACTCTCTTAGGCAACGACTTGAATAAAGGTGGTCTACCGTGTTGTCTTGTTTGGTAGTCACACGGCAGTCATGATTGGGACTGAGCAAAAGAATTGCAACTAATATGGCGTCCACATGGGACGCTGTATAATATGAATTCTGGGTATCAATCTTTCTCTGACGATATGTGGCCACATCCGAACGCCAACAGCAAATAATTAAACAAGCACACTATCCAGTACGCCTTCGATCCAGGCTTCCCAATTTCCCCTCTTCAGCCCCGCCACCCCTTTCGCCGCGGAGCCTTCGTTCTTCCCGACCTCTTTCTGCAGCCCTTCCTTCGCGCCATCGCCCTGCGCTTCCCACCACTCTGCCTCGGCCCTATCTTTGGCCTTCTTGACCACCCTCTCTTCGTCCTCTACGCGGTATAGATCACATTTGTTGCACTCGCCGCATGGCTGTCCGGGCCGTTCACGGAAGTGTCCACAAAAGTGTTGATAGCCCTCATTCGCAAGACCCTGTCGGCAGATGTAGCACATGCTGTACCCACAAAGGCAAACGAGCTTATTGCAGCCCTCGGATTTTACAAAGCCTAGGTTGCATTGAGGACAGGTACGCTTGACTGCGTCTGTGGTAGCACGTTCGAGTGTGAGACGAAGGGACGTGAGCTGGGAAGAGAAACATGTGTGGGGGTCATGCCAGGGAAGGGAGCACGAGAGGCAGGATGCGCGACCGCAGCTTGGGGATAGACACTGAAACCGAAGACCGCGACGCTTTAGGTGGACACGCCTGAGCGCGGATCGAAAGGGTGCGATGACGGGCAGGCGAAATGTGATGGTGACGAAGGTGTAGATAAGAATAAATGCGAAAAGTAAGGCTCGAGTGGCTTGGAAGCACAGCAGCTCGAATAAGGGCACAGAGGCCAGCGAAGCCAGTATGAGTGGGCGGGATTTGAAACGTAGGCTGGCGAAGAGGTTGGTATCTGGAAGCGCGAGGTCATCCAACTCCGCATACGAGCAGAAGGGACACTGTACGAGTGGTAGCTGAGATCTGGTCAGTGCATCGCTAGCGAAGCGCTCGTTGAGTTTGTTCAGGTTGTCCTTTCCATCTTGCTCTTCCAGAAGAGCGCGCTTCACAAACGAGAAGGGTATGCAGCCACGACACTCTTCGGAGCCACCGGTCATAGGCGCTATGCATTTCAGGGTACACAGGTCCGTGTTGATGTTACGCGCCCAGCCCTGGTCGTAGAGGGCAGCGTTGATAGCATGCCGTATGCAACGGAAGCAGATGTAGTGGCCGTCGATATCGCAGGTCGACATCTGCTGAAGCGTGTTGGGTATGAAGCAGCATTCGCAGTCGTACATTTCGCCTTCACGCTCGGCCTCCTCTTCGTTCCATTGCATGGCCAAGTCATAGTCCTGTCGCAATTGCGCGTTCCGGTGTTTCTCATGTTCCGGTACAATGAGTGCGTTGTACAGCTCCTGATTCAGCTCGTCGCTTCGTGTCTTTACGAGAAGTGGCATAGACGGACGGTTCAGACGTTCGTCGGCGGGAGTCCAAATGACCAGGGGGTGGTCACTGGCCGTCGGCGCCTTCCGTCGCATCAGGAAGTTGGTGATGCTGGATCTCCAACTTCTAGTTGATAGTTCCAATAGCGTCGGTCGTGCATGCGTATAGCTGTAGTTGTATTCAGCCAGCACAGCCTTGATGGTCGAGTGGCTCAGGCCTTTGAATTCCTGATACAGCGCTTCTTTGGCAGCCTCCTTATATCGCCGTGACCGAAACTTTTCTTCCAGCGCAAGGGGTATGCCTCGTGTGTCTCTCGGTGCGTCTTCCTTGCGGTATTTGTACTTCTGCGCCGTCTCCCGCTGCTCTTCCTGCTCGGCGGGCTTCCTGTACCGGCCCCGCACATACTTGTCGCCATGCTTTAAGAGCGTCTCGGTGACGACTTGCAGCCTGCTCTCTTCGCTAAAAGTAGACAGCATCTCTCGGAAAACCTCGGGTTGCAGGTCGGGGAAGATGTCGGTAAGCGCTTGCAGGGCGGTATTGAGGTCGCGCAGGTCGGGCTCGTCGAGGCCATGACTGTCGATCGAGGGCGGAGGCTGGGCCGCGGGCTGCGTAGCTGCGGAAGCCCGTCGCAGCTTGGGTGGGCGTACCAGGGAGGCGAAGACGGTCGACATTGCAGATAGTGCGCCTAACGCTGCGGCGGAGGAGGTTTGCCAAGCATGCGGAGACGACAGGCCAAGACACGTATGCAGAAGTTAACTAGACATTAAAAGTAGTAGGGGGAAGTAAGAAGCGTAGAAGTGAAGCATCAAGGCCGGAGATGGTCGTGTGCATCGTAGGAATTAAGTTGAAGGATGCTGCCGACTCCGAGAGGAATGACGCGTAACCGATCCAGACCCTGCCAATCATTATCGCCTGCGCACGTGAGACCTGCACCTCCACAAACACCCCCCTAGATTGTTCGACCCCAGCTGCATCGCCTGCAGTAACATCCATGCCATGTGTAAAGAGTCGACTGGTTGGATGATAGACATCTCAGACGCGCTTCGTCCTGCGTGTCATCGATGATGACTTCTCCAATGCTTACCTAGGTAGGCATCCAAGGCTGCGCACTCCTCTTCACCTTCACTCAGCCAGTGCAGCCGACTCTGACGGCGCACAGACTTGGCAGTCTCAAACTTAGGCTGTACAAGCTATCCTGATGCGCGCAACAGCTACCCCACTACACAGGTTCTGCCTTGCGGTTGCTACTCGACGCATGCTACCTCTGTCACCCTGGCATGTGAATTCTTAACAAGCCAACAACTCCACTAAGCATGTCGCAGTCCGTGGCTCAGCCTACCGCCACGAGATTAGGTACTCGTGACGACGGTGGCACCCCAATAGCCTCTGGGGAGCAGAAGTCAGGTCAAGAGGTCGCTCCGATAAAGAAACGCCAACGTGGTAGAAAGCGGTAAGTATTGCGCTGACATTAGTCTGTACGAGTGTACAGACAGCTAACAGGAGCGCAGCCAGCACAAGAATCAGGATACAGCAACAGTGGAAGCCGAGAGTTCAGTAGCAACGAACGCACTCCGGGCCCATGAGACAGTTATTGACGGCGATCACCAGCCTACAACGGCCGGGACTGCAGTAACCAAAGAGGACGATGCTATACGGCCGAAGGCACGAAATGCGCGTCCTTCAAAACTGTGAGTAGGCTAATCTTGCCCCAATTTCCACTCAAGTCTGACTCCACACATAGAGAGCGTGCTAGGCGAAATGGAGCGAAAGCATCTCCACCCGTAACAACTTCTTTGGCGTCAGCAGAAGTTGCAACAGTGAAGGTACCGGTTAAAGAGAAGCTTCCAATATTAGCTCAAGGAGACGCAGTTCCATCAAAGGGATTGAGGCCTCAATCTGCGAAAGCAGGACAACCCCGGGCACAGCTTCCACACCAGGCGCCTTCTTGGAAAACGTCATGGATGTTCCGGGAGACCACCGAGCTGCCCGTTCGCACAATAGAAGCAACAACACTGGAGCCAGATGGCACCAAGGTGTCGTCTGAGCGTGGCTTCGAGACCTTGTGTAGCTACAACTGGCAGTGTGATGGGTCAATCTATGTACCTGGTGCACCTCCGAGGTGGAACCCTCCACCGCTGCCGACCTCTCTAGCTCAGGACTCAGGGAGACACTTCGTCGATCAGAACTCATCTCGCGTGCCCAAGTATCCTTTCGAGCCAGCCTTCGCTGCCCTTGCTGTGATGGGACCCGACGTCGTGCTAGATCGAGTCGACATCATCGCCAACCGCAACAGTCTTCGCAAGCTACTCGATTTTTCGGCTGGGAGGAAACTGGACATTTTCTGCATGGGCTTACACATGGTCGGCAATACGCTCGTTATTAGCCGTAAAGAACGGAACGCTCAGCAAATGATCCATGGTGCACCGAACGCGGGCTACGGACATAACTTCGAGAAGACCTTCACCATGCCTGATCATGGAATGGGGAATTCTAGCAGTCATCACAGGGTCATTCGGTACTATATCGGCCCTTTGAACTGCGTTGTCCGTTTTGAAGTCGATGCGTATTACGATGACCCGGATGTCGTCCTGGACTCGAAGTCTAAACAGCCTAGGGATGAGCCCGTTGGCACCGTGAGCGCTGCTATGGCACAACTAAATATTGCAGGCCTGCCATCAACTCAAACTAAACCTCGAAAGACTCCCGTCGATAAGCCTACAGTAGTCGTTGAGAAGGGAATCTTCATCAACCCGTCCAAGCTCGCGGAAATCAAAGCCAAGAAGCTCGCACGTCTTACAGAAGCACTACCGCAGCTTTGGTTCGGTCGTACGCCCTACTTTATGAACGGCAACCACGACAAGGGTACGGTGCACTCGGTGAGCATCAGTGATGCTGAGAAGGAATACCCCCGATGGGAGGAAGCCAATCAAGATAAATTGCGCAAGATGGTGAGTGTGCTTGCAGAACTAAGGGATGCCGTCACACGTACGAAAGAGCGCGCAGCCGTGCTAGTCTACGACGAGAAAGGTGGGCCATTGAAGGTATATGCGATGAAGAAGAATCATGGCGTGCTGCCTAGTGAAACCATCGCGAAGCACTGGACCAACGCTGGAGGTAACGCGGGATAAGAACTCCTTCAAACTGCAGAACCGGATTCTAAATTTACACATATGGCCCTATAACAATCTTCCGAAAACGCCAATACTGAACACCCACTAGGAAACTGGGCAATTTGAGACTCTATCCTGGCACGTCAGTAGGTGCCTCCTGCATCCATTCCCATGTGACACTGATTCTACCCTTTCCACCGCCATCCCAGTACTTGTCGAATGTGCCCTTTTGCATGTCCAAATGCGTCACGTTACATGCTGTGCACATGTCTCTCACTACGACCTCCTGCTCCACCAGTTTCTTACCCTGATCATCAGCCATCCACATTCTAATGCCTCGAAAACACAGAGCACTCAATCTCATGTCCCTGCCGTCGTCATGTGTTCCTAGGAAGACCCAGTTCTCTTCCAAGGGAGATCCCCCAATTTCTCGGTCCATCTGGAACAGCACCCAGCTGACGGCGACAGCAAGCTCATTGCTTTTCATGTCAGGACCACCACAGGCTCCGACGCCACCGGGACCAAACTCTGTCAGGTGGCCGATCTGGGGCTCTGCGGGTACGATGTTGGGAGCCACGTAACCCGTGGGGATCGAGAATGGGAAAAGATCTGGCCAGTCTCTCGAAAGATGTTCTCCTGAATAGATTGGCGCTTGGGCCACGCCATCAGTTGGCACGGTACGTAACAAGGTATATTCATCAGCATCCGTGTATGGTTGTGTGGTATAAGTCAACATGGGGATTGTCCAGTCGGCTGGTGGCGTGTTAGAGTGATGTGGTGGTACTGCATTGATGTCTGGGGGTGGTGCCAGAGAAACTGGAACTGGTGAGTTTCCGGAAACGGGAGGAGTGGGGAGGACGGGCGATGGGACAAGACTGGCGGCGGAGGTTATGAGTTGAGGCTCACTAGCCAAAGCAACGAGACTAGCAGATGTACTGACAGGAGGAAGATTTGCATCCGCCACGGCGTTTTGTTGTAGCGAAAAGCTGGGAACATCAGACGCAATCTGGCTACTATCTGGGGTGGCTTCGACGTCTGCACTTGGTGCAGGCTCTTCCTTAGTTATTGATGGTCCGCTATCGAAGGTCTCCATCAACGACGCGGCAATCATCGTAGCTGTGCCGGATACCACCCCTCCTTCTTCCCCTCCACATTCATAAACCTTTCCCTTGAGAGTGTCTTGGACGTGGCAAAGCAAAGCCAGACTTTGAACATACTTTTCGCCTTCCTTAGCCAAGGCACACAATACCTTAACCATGTTATTCAGCCTCTCGAAAGAGTCCTTGTGGTCGCATTTTGCTCCTTCGCTTATTGCTGGAAAGTCCTGCTCGAAGCCATCGCATATGGTCTCGTTCAGCGTTTGGCCCATCTTGACATCCCCAGATGTCGGGGGTTTTTCTGATTTGACGGAGAAGCACATTTGTATGATTAGTAGCCGGAAATCCCAATATGCGTCCCAGTATGTCTTCATTACCTCTGTACCTGACAGAGAAGGTGGTTGAGCAGGCACTTCGCGGCGCTCATGAATCCTCGAAGGTACTGCGGGATTCGGTTTGCCCATGAAATTCCAATGCTGCACTTCTCGACGCACCGCGGCATTGCTGCTTGTCGTACTGAGAACCTTCACACTGTAGCTTTTATCCGCGTCATTATTCTTCGTTGTCGCAGTCGGTATGAACGTCAGAGAAGGAAGCAAATGCCGATTTTGCTCGTTTTCCCTAGGGAACAGCGGCAAAAAGCGCCGGAGATATCGTAAACTATTCCACGGATATGGTGCTAGTCGTCCCGCTTGCGCAACGGAAGATTTTGAAATGACTCCAGTCTCTTCACCTGCAGATAGAGTAGCTGAGGTTTCGGTAGGTAGAGGTGTCGTATCTGGACTAGCCGTTGGGTCGGCGGTAACAGAAGAGACTTCCATGCTGGGGATATCGGTATCATACGAGGAAGCTGTAGAATCGGGCAGATCACCAGTATGGAAGATGGTATTTGTTATGCACTTTGGAACGGTCTCTGCGGGTTCGGGCTCTGGCGGCTGCGGCGAAGCTGAATCGCTGCCAACACTCGAAGCTACCATTCTAGATGTTCGAATAGTACTCGTGATCGTCGTTGTCAACGTGGTAGTAATTGTTATAGTAACATCTTCGCAATCCTCTGGGTCCTCTCTTCGACCAAGGTATCCACCTTGGTCTAGGTCCAGAAGCGAATCGTAGCGGAGAGAACCATCAGCACGTTGGTCTAGATAGCCGCTCCTCCCAACAAGATCTTCTAGGACAGCTGTACTTTGCATGAAGTTAGAAGATTGGGAGGACGGGCTGCTGAGGGAACTCGATGATTGTACTGAGCTGGACTCAAGAGTGGACGTTGGCGTAGACGTAGGCGTAGGCGTAGGCGTTGAGGACGGGGTCTCGCTCGTTTCGATGGAAGACGTGACAACCACGACGCTCGTTGGAACGTTTTCTGACGGTATAGCGGCATTCGTGACTCTCTCAGGGGTTGATGACTCCGTCAGAAGCGGCGTTGACGAAGCACTGAACGTCTCGCTTTCCGTCGTCGCTTTGTCTTGCTTATCCGCGCTAAAATACCCTCCGGAACCGAGCCCGGCTAATGTTGCAACTATGATTACGATGAAAGCTGCCAGGATAGATATTGCCCAGTACCACTTGGGTTTTTGCTTTGGACCATCTTGATTGGGGGACTTCGTAAGCTTTCTGCTTGGTGGTGCAGCTTGCTCAAGAGCTGGACTAGTGAAGGGAAGGTCGTCATATTTCTCCTCGGTATAGTATGGACCATCTTGATTGAGGGGCTTCCTAAGTTTTTCCCTTGATGGTTCAGCTTGCTCAAAAGGTGGAGATATGACGAGTTTCTCGTTGGTATGATATGGACTAGTATTGAGATGTTCCCATAGGGCACGGCCCACCACGGGATCTCCTTTCCCTGCTTTACGATCTTTGTCATCGGAGTCCTGAAACGTATCTCGGGGATATACCGAGCTGGCACGATGAGATTCGCCTCCGTATGCTGTGTATCTGGGTCTTGGTAGGTGGTCGTTATCCATATCTCGGCTTTGGTTGAATCCCGAACCTTCCGACTGAGCGAACGGGGTAAAAACTTGGGAAGTCAAAGTGGGAAGACTCGGTAGGCTTTTCTCCGATAGATTTGGACTCGGGGGCTCGAAATTCTGAGTTTGGGGCTCGGGATCCTGAGCCTGGGGCGCGAGACCCTCAGTCCCGTATTCAGGTCCCGAACCTGCGTTGACAAGCTGGGGCTTCCCTATTTTCGGGCGTGGTATGCTTGTCGTAGATTTAGAGGAACTCCTTCTGCTTGGTTTTCTGTTGAGAAACATGGATATCTACGCACAGGGTGATGTAGATTGTCGAAAGGTAGAAAGTTACTGTCAATGTAAACAGTTTCACGTATCAAGCAGAAGGTAGAAGAAGAGTATATCATCAGTAGAATTTGAAAGCATATATATGCCACACCAGTGTGTGAGTAATAGGAAATGCCGTAATGTGTCACAGTCGACTCAACCCTGAGTCATGACTGTGTGACGCGAACCAAGTGACAGTGCTCAGGCCCAGGACCACTCCACGTTGACCCTGCCCTTGGCTTTATCAGCCAACTTGTCGAACGCGGAAGGGCTGACATCGATGTCGTCGTAAGCACATCCCATGCCTGGCAAAACATTAGCAACAGCAATATGAAGTGGCGTGAGACGGAGTGTGCCATCCGGAGTACTTACACTTGTCGACAATGGTGACAAGGACGCTGGCGTCCTTGCCAGTGCGCTCGTCCACACGGTGGGCTCGAATCTGTTTACCACAAAGTGGGTTGTCGTTGGGGTTGGGAGTTTTGACCTCGTCCCCTGATGAAAACACGGTGTTAGTGTGTGTCTCGTAGATGAGTTGACGAAGATCAATACTTACAGCGTCCGTGAGAAACAGCCATGACAGCGTCGTTATCACCGTGAGTATGACCGCAAGCGCCCAAACCAGGGTTGTAATACGTCATTTGGCCTTGAGCTAAGGGTCCGATGGCTGGAGACACGGCATTGTTGCTATGGGTGTTGTTAGCTGAGCCTATTGGAAGAAGGCAAAGCACAAAGACTCACTTGGAGGGGATAACCAAGCCTGCTGCGAGACCGATGATGAGAGCCAGAAGGGAGACAAAAGTGATGCCGATCATGATGAGTAGTGTACGGCGGTTGATGTGGTTGTTGAAGTATCTTTTGTGTGGTGGGAAGTTGTTGTAGTGACGAGAGAGTGTCGAAGCAAAAGAGCTTGTTCTTATACCAGTAAAGATAGCACATGTGAGGCCATACCGCCTTCCATTGTGAGTTGACTTATCGCCAGGTGAGGGCACCTCACGTGGAGCGGTGACCCTAATGGCATCTTTCGTTCGTTGATCTGAAGGTAAAGGTGCTTCCAATTTCGACCCGATTGTAGTAGTGTCAATGGGCGAGGCCTTCAAATGCGCCTGGGCTGCTTCTGGAAGCGGCTTCCGTGATATTACTGGAGCATTCATAACTATATATCAAAAGTGCGTAGCGTGTGCGTAACGTGAATAGACTATTGGGGGTATCTCGAAGCATGTAAACGTCATAACATATTGAAGCGATTGCCGTCGGAAATGAGTGTATGCCTAGACGGCTGGGACCGACGTGGGTGGAAACGAAGGATTAGGGTGGAGTATGGAGAAGGCGCGAACTTGTGGGTCGCGAGAGTGAAAGACATCAAGGGGTCAGCGCGGGTCCTTGGCCTTTCGGTGATTCGCTATTCGCCGAGGCTCGTCCGAAACATGGCGACCTCACTTGAACTTGACAGAACACTGTTCAATACACTGTCCGTAAACTCGCTCATACCGCTATCGCGCTCTCGTTTGAAACCTGAAAGCAATCGGTGATCTGAAACCACGTTTGCTCAGATAACTACAACTTTGGTACCCGTTTGCGAGTCTCGGCTGCTACCAACGCACTTTACGCCGCACCTCGGTACATACACATTCACAGCGCATCGACTCAC